CACAAAGGGAAAAAAATCAGCCATTAGCTGGCACTGGGAAAAAATGTGCCACGGGAGATAAGGGAAATTTAAACAATGAAACCAAGTGCTGTTAGCTATAAATCAAATTATCAGAGCCTTTTTCTAGTGAAACAGACTATGGCAAAACCACTTCCAGGTCTTTGTCCTTCTTTACTTAGGACCTCTCACCTGGGCCCCTCCTTCATCCACTCAAACCTACCTGGTTGGCTACAGTCTCCCCTCTCTTCACATTCCAGGGCTCTTTGCTGTCCAGGAGACCAGGACAGGCTTACACACAGCAAGACCTGTGTATGAGAAAGACACACATGCGCATACTGGATTCTTTAGAAAGTACAGGATTTCCAACACAGCACTGTGCTGCACGGATAATAATCAGAAAAAGAAAGGACTCTCCAAATAATTTCTCAATTTTTATTTTGACAGATTCACTAAAATGTACAGGAATTTTTTCAGTTTTCATATGGTGAGTTCTATCACAGATTCAAATGCAGCTATGGAAATGGAACTTTATGGCTACAGTGTCATGTACTAATCTGTGTCTGAAATTAACAACAAAAATAATGAAAATGGATAATTCCTCTAACAAGTGAGAACAGAAAGAAATGATAAAACATAAACGTTCTTCACAATGCCCTAACATTCCCGTGAACTGATTTTTAAAGAATCGAAGGCTTAGTCAGCAAAACTAACATACGTCAAAGTACACTGCTATTTGTCAAAGGATGGCAGAAGAGTAAAGAATTCTCCAAGAAAAATCTCCTCACCTACAGACACCAGATTGCTGTAGTTTTCCAACATCAACTCCCTGTACAAAGCCCTCTGAGCAGAGTCTAGGCATTTCCACTCCTCCTGGGAGAAATCTATGGACACATCCTTGAAAGTCAATGGATCCTAAAATGAAAAATGACAATTAGGCTATGTGCACTTAAACAGGGTACTAGACCCAAGAAAGAAAGAGATAATCACGAAACAACTCCTGAATTAGATGAGAAATCTGAATTATTTAAAAGGATATTTCTTAATGGTAACTATCTACAATCTACTCTCTGTGCAAAAAAGAACAGTATCAGACGCTCCAAATTTTTGTGAAAATTATGAAGGAAAATAGCACAGAAATTGAGCCCTGAACAAATTAATACTGTTTGCCCCCTACAGCTGTAGCATACAAAATCAGTTGCATGTATTTCGGGTGCCGGCCACACCCGGAGTGCAGGGACTGTGAAGCCCTTGGCCTGGGCGCACAGCGCCAAGGAGGGCGCGGCTACCCCTTCTGCGGGTCCCTAGGGCTGCGGGCAACGCGGCAGCCACTCCCTACAGCGTCTTCTGCAAGGGCCTGTCCCGCACCCTGCTCGACTTATTCTAATTGGCCTGGCAGCTGTAAACTTTCCATATGTCTACGTCGCGTGCCCGGTGCTCTTCTACATCCGCCTGCAGGTACACATTTAGAGCTGTGACTACGCTTCCCACCTCCAGGCCCTGCAAGATGGCCGATTCCCAAATCGCCACACGGCAGAGCCTCGCCCACCCGCGTTGTCTCGCGAGAGTCTGCCAGAGCTTCCGCGCGGTCAGGGCCTCTGGGTGGAGTGGAGGTGTAGAAAACCCATGCAGCCAGAAGTGAGCCAGGATGCTGTCTGAGGGGCAGAAGACCTTGTTTAAGAAGCAGGGAATCTCATTAAATTCCTGGCACGGATCTTAGGGTATGACAGAGGGCACCAGATGCAATAGTGAAAAGAAAGGCTGAAATTCAATTTTCAGAAAAGCAAATTTAAATTGGCAACAAACTCATGATCAAAATTAGACTTCTAGAACATTGAATTGGATTGTAAGCGAGACATGAATAAGAAGTCTATATTAAGAAGGTGATGGGAAAAGTATGCATTTCATCATCCCACAAGAGGACAATTGAAACTTTGAGTCAAAACAAAACCGCAGGAAATCATCCCCTAATGCCAAAAGACAAGCAATATTTGAGGGGAAGGGAGTTGGGATTGTGGAAAGAGGGACTCTTCGGTGTTCCTGTGACTAGAACATGGATTAAGACCTTGGCACCAAAGATGAGGAACTCCAGTTGAAGCACAAAGCTTGACTGTGAATAACTTTTAAACACTAGTAATGCAAACACTGTGTATGGCGTGCATCCTTCAAGGAAATACTTAATTTTGGTTACAGAGTAAACTGCGGATGCTTTAAGCTTTGATGTAAGAATACAATTTACAAGGGTGGGAAAGTAAATGAAAGGTTGTGGTACCCTTGTAAAGTGGGTTGTTGGAAAATGCACTCTGTTAAGAATGACAAAGGATATTTTATTTATGTGACAGCCATAAACGGGGAGTAACTACCACATGAAGTCAACAGAAACTGCTGAGGTGGAGAATTCAGGTGGGATGTCTAAGCAAGAGAAAGTATTGGGGGAGGGGTGGATGAGCAGGAGAGAGTATTCAGGGACTGGGGTGAATTAGTAATTGCAGAACTCTCTTTGAAATTAAATCATAAGTAATATAAACCCAATGAAAAATAAAGTTACCAAAACTACACTACCATATCTCAAGTGTGAATAGCCTTGTTCATGTTATGTAAATATTTAATAAGAAATGATATAGCATTGGGAGATGGGAAGAGGAGAAAGATGACTGTGTAATGATGAAGAGTCCACTAGGTCGATTAGGAATGGAAGTGTGGCTCGGTTCCTCAGTTGCTTAGCCATAAGGCCATAAGATTGATCCCAAGAACGACAGGAAAGAAAGATCTAATACAGAAAAAGCAGTATAAACTATGATGCAGGAGGGGGGAAGTAAAAACAAATGTGATTTAAAAGTAACTCTCTCTAAAGAAAGGACATCAGGGTGGGTAGAGAACACACAAGTGTGTTGTTTTACCTTACAAGTCCGACAGTGTTATTTGATTTATTTTTCATCATCCATGTGCTTTCCTTTAATTAAAATGTAATACATTTCATTTTTGAAAGCTCTCCAGGTAAAGTCTACTGTCTAAAACAAAACAAAACAAAAAAAAAGATCACTTGTATACATTTATCTGATATAAAGTCACATTGATTTATAAGCCTGATTCATAAATTCAAGTGCTTATAACCACGGACTGTAGTCCTAGATAAAGCACAGATGTCTACCTTAACAGGATTTGTGGCTGGCCCTGACTTAACCCTTTCCTAACAGACTTTGCAGTAAGGCCAGTAGGCCAATACAAAAGACACTTTCTCCAACAGCACTAAGTAAAACATGGTGGAAGATAAAGAACTCTGTGTGCTCTCCCTCCACAGCAAGAACACAGAATCCTTGTAAAGTACATCCTATATCTTGCATGTAATGTAGAAATCAAGAAATATCATTGCATAGCTATTCTAATACTCTAATAGTAATTTCTTCTTTTATCCTCACCAAACAGTAATGAAAACATGAAGACAAGATCCAACAATGACTGAACAATATTGATTCTGCATACACAAAGGCCTCCAAAATCAGGCAACGGCATGCGTGTAACATTTAATAGCAGAACTCTTTTCTGAGGCACAAAGAACCAGTAACGGAGGCAGTGCTGTGATTGAGTGCGAAGCAGAAATACCAATGGAGAGGAAGAGGCCTGCTTCAGAATCTCACACGGAAAACTCAGGATTTAGCAAACTAGAAAGGTTTCTTTCTCCAAAGAAAGGAAGAAAACTACAGTGATGAAAGGAGAGATTCTGCATTAAATGTCATGATTCGTGTGCTTCACTCTGTGAACTACCAGAAGAAAACTTACTCCTAATAAATTAAAAACGATGTCAAGTCTGGGATTTGGTGTAGAGCAGCTCAACCAAAGGAACCATCTACCAGGAGACAAAGAATACAGGTGTCAACAAACCCAGCAGCACATTCCATCAGGCCTGTGATGTCGGTGGGATGAAATGTTGAGCAAAGTAAAACAATACCAAAATAAAGTAAAAAATATTATCAGTTTTATGTAAAGTTCAAAGCACAACACAGTGACATACGAGGACCCAAGTCCATCCTCCTTAGGAACTGAAGACTGACATGTCTGAATTTTCACCTATCACATCAGAAACATTTATGAGATTGTTGGTCATGAATTCATTGGATCAGTGTGGAAAACATAAGCACTGCCAGACAAAGTGGAGATGTGGACATGCTATATAGGAGATACATATGAAAAGAGTTAATGTGGCCCAGGCATGGAGGTGTAGGCCTCTGCTCCCAGAACTCCAGAGGAAGAGGCATAAGGATTTCTGTGAGATCCAGGCTAGCCTGGTCTACATTGCTAGTTTCTGGATCAGAAAAGATTACAAATTCAAAATATCAAATATTTAGAGAAAGAAAATATACA